GTATCAGGTTCAGAACTCAGCTTGATGGACTGGTTGTCTCAGGTTAGCAGAGGAGAGCTCCAGGACTTAGAGTCATGGTATACTCTAAAGTTCCCAGTTCTGCTGGTCCCTTAAATAGTTTGCTAAATCTTGCTAATCACACTTTGCCACACTCCACACAATCTCACTCTTATCTACAGTGGCTGGGTAGTGGGCCTATACTCCCTTTCTTTCCAATCTTTCTTCAGCCAGGCCTTTGCCTGCCTGATTACAAGGCTCCTTACACATCTGAACCATTTTGTAAATACCTACACCAGAGTAAAGGACCCAGGTTCTAGCTATTACTTTGATACAGGGAATTTCTGTGTGTGGGGGGCACACTTGTGGAAGTCAGAGGACAACTTACAGGAATAGGCTCTCACTCTTTCCACCATGACCATGTGGGTTCTGGGGTGGGGTCAATCTCCTGTTGTCAGAAGGGCCATTCCTATGGACTTGAATTAGGAAAGCAGAGGTGAGATGTCCAGGTTCAGGTGTTCCCATGCATGAAGGCAGAGCAGGAAGTTTGCTGAGGAGGGGGTTGCTTTCGGATTGCTCATCAGGCTTGCTGACTGTTGAAAGAGGCTGATCACCTGCTGTAGTTTTGTGAAAGATCTGGGCTGAGATACAGCCTAAGGAGGCAGCCACACGCATTCCAGGCTGCAGGAGAAGACAGGGCAGGAACAAGAAGAGACTTCTTTGAAAGTACAGCAGAAGTTGGGTGTAGTGACATGTGCTTGTAATGCCAGCATTTGGGATGCTGACGTAGGAGGATCCCATTGAGCTTGAGGCCAGTTTGGGCTACATTGTGAGTTCCAGGTCAGTCTGGGCTATAGAGTAAAACTCTGTCTCACATCCTCCAAGGAAAAAGTTCTATTTCTCTGGATGGCTTAGTGTGTTTGGAAGATGTTCTTCTCCAGCTGGCCATACAGCTTTGGAGTCTCCTTGCTTTTCAGATGTTTGGTAACACAGTTGAGTGATTGTCTTAAGTATATCCTTGAGTGAAGGAAGCCAGAAACTGATTTTTCCAAGTTCTTTTCCTTAAACTTTAAATTGAGTTCTAGGGGTGCAGCTCAGCGCTACTGAGTGTGCTGCATATGGACACAGCCTAGGTTCCTTCCCCAGCACGCTGTGCCCAAAGACAGAAAATCTTGAGTGGAGTTTCTTCTAATCATGTCCAACATGTCTGGGATTTTCTTGTGCTTTGGGTGCTCATTTTCTTCCTTTCCTCCTTAGTGAATTAAAATTATAATGCCAAACTGATGGTGTTTTAAATGTGTCAGAGGATTTTAGCATACTTCAGAAGGCAAAAAATGGGACAGTATTTTCAGGATAGGCAACATTAGAAAATATACATACAATAAAGTACACAAATCTCAAGTAGAAGACTAGATGCTTTATTTTTAGCTTTATTTATTTATTTATTTATTTATTTATTTATGCTTCATGTCATAGTCTGTGTGTGTGTAAGTCAGAGGGAAATTTGTGGGAGTCTGTTCTTGCCTTCCACCATATGGATCCTGGACACTGAATTCACCAACTTAGCTAGGCTAGCTGGCCAGAGATGCTCCGTTCTCTGCTCCAGAGTTACAGATGTGAGGACTAGAGCTACAGCAGGTCTCTTCAGTAGGTGCTGGGAATCCAAACTTGGGTCCTCATGCTCAAGCAGTGAGTGCTTTAACAGATAAGTCATCTCCCCAGCCCCTGTGTTAACTTTGAACTTCTAAAATGATCTCATTATGCATCCATGGCTGGCTTGGAAACCCTCAGGTAAACTAGGCTGTCCTTGAATTTTCAGTGACCTCTGACTTCCACTTCTGGAGTGCTAGGATTATATGCCCAGCACCCCATCCAGCACCCGATCCACACTCTCCTCTGTCCTCCACAGGCACCAGGCATGTATGCATGCACTTACATACATGCAAGCAAACCACTCACACACAGAAAAATAAACTTATTTTAGAAAAAGAAAAAGTGGGACAGAGGCAGGAGGATTCAAGGCTATTCTCACCTACATAACTAGCTTAAGGTCAGCCCAGGCTACCTGAGACTGTCTCCAAAGAAAAGAAATGGGGGGCGAGTTTTGATTTGGGGTTGGTGATACACAATGACACTGTCAAGCAACAATTTCTTTTTTCTTTCTTTCTTCCTTTTTTTTGTGTGTGGGGGTTCAAGACAGTATTTCTCTGTGTAGTTTTGGAACCTGTCCTGGAACTCGCTTTGTAGACCAAGCTGGCATTGAACTCACAGAGATCTACCTACCCCTGCCTCTGCCTCCTGGGATTAAAGGCATGTGTTACCACCACCACCAGGTCAGGCAACAATTTCTTAGGGGCAGAACACCTTGAGGTGGGTGGTCCTGAGTTTCACCCCAACCCTACAAAGATGAAGGGAGGAGAAATCATGAAAGTGCCCTCGAAACTTGCAGGTATACCACGTGATCACTATACTGAGTTCTAGCACCTGCCCAAATTCAGGGGTGTTCTGGAGAAGAGTGGAGCTATGCATGGCTCTCAGTGGGGACTGTAAATCTAATGCTGTTCAGGAGCATTCGTTCCGTGTGATTTTTTAAACCATATCAAATAAAGTCATTTTTCTTCCCCTTCCAAAATTATTTTGCAAGTGTTGGCCTGCTGCCACCAAGGTCTTCCCAGCTAGGGAGACGAAGGGGTTTGTTTAACCGCTTTGTTCTTTCCTTTTTAACCTATTTGTGTTTAACCAGATCCTGTCCCAATCCCTTAGGCATTTTAACAACTTCTTTCTGTTTGTTGAACTAAGAGATTAACTTTAGATCGCTGTCCAAACTCCAAAGTTTACATTTGCTGTACCCCCGCCGCTACTCACGCCTGCCCAGGGTGGATTCAGTCGGGTGCTTTCAGTTGCTGTAGGAGATGAAGGGACAGCTTGAGTGCCAGGAGCGAGAAGGGTGAGCCCTCTGGGGTCTCTGCTAGTCCTCAGGCCTGCTGCTATCCACCTACCTGGCCTCTGTGGCCCTGGCGAGATTTTTCCCCTTCCCAAGGTTCTCTGCCTGACCTTTGAGTCGCCTGCGCAGTCACACTAGACCCGTGAATATCCAGGCCAGAACAGCATTAGTGGAGAAGACAAGGAAACTAGATTCCCAGGCGACCGGCAAGCTAGATTCAACCACCCCAGTCTCCCAACCCGAGGCAGAGACTGCCCTATGACGGGAGACCCGTGCCAGGAGCGTTCAGCTTCCCAGAGCTCTCCCCAACCCCGGGAGGCCGCAGCAGTGCTACCAGCTTATGCGAAGAACCCCGGTTGGCACAGGTACTCCAGATCAAGTAGGGACCCCTGACAGCAGTCCTTTACCACCATTCTTCACCCACCCCCGCCCAAGCCACTAGTTTACAGCCAGAATGCACCCTCCCGCACAGGGCAGAAATGGGTCATTTGGCAGCACTGCCCCTCCCCCCTCCACACACACATTGCTTGCAGGACAGATTGTGGGGTTAAAAACGCTATTGCAAAAGTCCCACGTCTGATCTTGGGTCTTATCTAAGATTGATAGCACGAAAGCCCTTTGGAGCCTGGGCCAATTTTTAACAGCCAATGAACATGGCAAATGCTACAGTGTGAGACAGGTCTGTGCTGTGTTTCTAAAAACATGCAATTTATTGAAGGAAACATTAAACCAAACTGCCCCCCTCCCAGCCTTGTATTTGCCTACCCATGCATAGGACCGCTTAGTTCAAAGCAGGCAGACACGTGGGAGGCGCGTGAAGGTGCAGGCAATTTCCATCAGCACTAAGGCCTAGACGGGCAGACTTGCAGAGCAAAGTTCCCTTTTCCTTTCAGGGAGAATTCTCCACTGATCTCCATTTTTCTGATAATTTTTTATTTTATTTCTCCCAGTTCACTGGTCACAGTCTTGGGCCTAAAGTCCAAGCAGAGAATGTTCTTTGCCTGTGGTGCTCAAGGCTCCCCGCCAAACTGGCCTCAAGAAGGCCAGATTCAACTAGGGGAGCTAGCTGTGAATCCATTCAACACATGGTGGAGCTGGAGGTGGAGATCTGTAGCAGAGTGCATTCCACGTCCTGGTTCTATCCCCAGCACTTCCACTACAAAATATACACACACCAGGGAGAATGCCCTTAACATCTGCTTTTGTCTGAATTGGAAAATGGACATAGTTTTTTTGGGGGGGAGGGGCGGGGGAGGTAGCGATGATGCTAAGTATTAACCCCAGGTCTTAGTACAGGCTAGGAAATTGTTCTACCCAGGCATGCACCAAACCTGTTAATTCAGTATATTATCACTGATGAACACATATCTAAAACTGGCTAGCCCCAAAGAGATCAATAGCATCAATGGATGAGGGGAGGGTGACAACAGAAAAAGGTGACCTGCAGACACCCAGAGGGGCCACCAATGAGGGAGCTGCCCGCCCCTTGGAGGTCAGGGAGCTGGCATAAAGGGCAGAGGGCTTCCTTTCTGTTCTATTTTAAAGGTAGCTTGAAAAAACCTTCACTGGTAAGTTGACTGGAGATGTCTCATGTCCTGTCCTGTCAACCCTTTCTTCTTATTCCTACACACCACCTCCTGGCATGCTGCACACCTTGCTGATTGGGGGTGGGGGAAATACACTCACCTTTCTCTTCTGATCCAACACTGGAATACCACTAGGAGATTTCAGATTTGGTCCCAGACTGCTTTGATAAAATTAATTTTATAATAAAACAAATAACAGATTTTTTGTCTTCCTGGTGCATACAAAAGTTAAATGGACAGAAATGCTATTTCACATCCCTTCAATAAAAAACATACTTTATTGCTCAAAATTCTAAGTACTGTCTGAGCTGTTGGAAACCTGGTGCAGATAGAATTGCTCAGTGCAGGATTGCCATTAACCTGCAATTTGTGAAAACTGTAGTATCTACCAACTGTACTGTGTCTTGTGCTGAATCTGCTCCATGTAATTGCCTTTCATTTATTGTTACCTTTAATAGGCTTTTCTTTCCACCATGTCTTCCATCAAGATTGAATGTGGTTTACGGGAGAACTGCAGGTGTGGGGAGTCTCCGGTGAGGGAGGGAGCATCTAACTCTCTGCTGTTTGTAGATATCCCTGCAAAGAAGGTTTGTCTATGGGATTCACTGAGCAAGCGAGTGCAGCGAGTGGCTGTGGGTAAGAATGAAAGCTGAGCTCCTTTCCTCGAAGTTAGCCATCTTTTCCCAGAGGGAGGTGGGGGAGGTGAGAGGGGCATCATTGCCCTGGGTCCTTCTTGTTAAAGCCTGACTGAAAATGCTTTGAAACCTTTCGGGTTGTCATGTTCTCTGTGTCTGTGATTCATGTGTTGTTCCCACTTGAACCCAATGATGGATCATCAATACTTTTCTCATCCTCTTCCATGGAGCACAGCATTCCCAACTTCTTTTTATTTTGTGATGCTGGGGATGGAACCCTGGGCCTCAGGCATGCTCAGCAAGTTCTCTACCTCGAAACTATACCTCCAGTGCCCTGGTTTTGTTTTGATGCTGAGGCCCTATAGTGTCTTTTTCTTGATCGCCTTCAGATAACATTATTCACAGCAAAGGCTTCATTAGTGGCATGGCAAAAGCTATCTACTCTGGTTAGGCCAATACCTCCGTTTAAAAAACAAAAGCAACAGTATAACAACAGCAACAGATGTATTACTTCTTTGTGAAAAGAAGAGTTCCTAGGCTTCAAAAGCATCAACCAGGACTGTTTACACACTGCACAAATGTGAGCTTACTGACAAGGTTCCCAAGAGAGCTTTGTGATTTCAGAGGAGTTTCTAGGGTTTTCTGTTGCTCAAGGCAATGGGTCTGGTGTGATTATCAGTAGACAAATAAGTTTCTGTTTTTGTTATTGAATTCATGGGAAGAAGATAGCAGGATTTTCCTAAGATTACAGGAATTTATGGTTTCTGCTATCTCTTCCCATGAATCCAACTATGATTTAAAGCTTGTTTTTCCTGGTGCTAGAGACTGAACCCAGGACGTGTGCATATCACAAGCACTGTTCCCAGACTAAAAGCAGATTTCTTTGAAAAAAATTGATTTTGTATGTGTGGGGGTGCTCTGGTTCCATGGCACACATGCGGAGCTCAGACAAGAACTTGCAGGAGTAGATTCGCTCCTTCCACCCTGTGTGCAAGTCAGAGGACAGCTTTTGGGAGTTTTGGGGGATTGAACTCAGATCATCAGACTTGCTGAGTAGCTAAGGGTAATGTGGAACTCACAGGTTCTTGCTTCCACCTGGAGCAGCTTCTAATTTACCTATCAACATGTTTCTAGCTAGCTCCAAGCAGAATGCTTCTGCCTCTGCCTCCCCAAGTCCCTCATTCCCAGCATTCACCAAATTCCTCCCCCTAATCTGCAAAGCCTCTGAGTCTTGCAAAGGGTCTGTGTGCTAGCAGGAGCTTAGAAAGCTAAACTACCAGGAGACATGTCATGCTTAGATTCCTTGTTAAGAGCATGACCTTCCTTATAGGGTCTTGCATATTCTCAGGGCCCCCAAGGACTTGAGTCAACTTCTGAGCAGGGCTTTGAGCTAAGAGCTTTTAGCTTTGATGAGGTGCTTAGGAAATGATTCTAAATAAACTCAGATAAATGTATTTCCTGTGATACTCACCATGCTAAACTCTCCCCACTTAAAATGTTTTTTTTTTAAATACAGGAAAGAATACTAAAACCAGAAAAGCTAAAGTATTAAAATGAAAAATATAGGAATATAATAAAGAGTTATAAAGATTGTATTTCATTGCATATACAATTGTATTATTTTTACCATGCAGACTTTCAAAGAATATTTGAGAAATGAGAAGCAATTTGGAATTAAGTATAATAAAATAGGACCCTTTAAAAATGGTATGAACTAGATATGCAGTGTACACCTATAATACTAGCATTCAAAAGGTGGAGGCAAGAGAACCTATAGACTGAGGCTACCCTCAGCTACATGGTCAGTCAACATCTTGGTACCATTAGAATCACTAGACCCCTTCCTAAGAGATGTTACATGACACAATGATGTCTGTGCTGGACCACCAGAGTGCTTACTACCTTCTAGGTATTGCCTTTTCCTCTGCAGATGCCCCAGTCAGCTCAGTGGCACTTCGGCAGTTGGGGGGCTATGTTGCCACCATTGGGACCAAGTTTTGTGCTTTGAACTGGGAAAATCAATCAGTATCTGTCCTAGCTACAGTGGATAAAGAGAAGACAAACAATCGATTCAATGATGGGAAGGTGGATCCTGCTGGGAGATACTTTGCTGGTATGATTTCATTCTCTTTTTTGCCCCTATTTGTTGTGTTTGAATCTTGCTCTGTGTGTGTGGTGCTGTGGGATGGAACAAAAGATGTATATATGCTAGATGAGTGTTCTACCACAATAAGTAATACTATATAATGAACACACACACAGATACATGTATATATCCTTACCTAGATTAGTTACTTATAAACATTTTGTTCTTGTTTCAATATGTACTCTATCTAAACTTATTTCTCTGCAGAATCATTTGTGTGTGTGTGTGTGTGT